TATGAGTATCATAATTATCTCAGAATTCTTGTAATATTTTTATGTTTTTGCTTTGATTTAAGATTTCCTGGGGCCTTTATAGTCTTCCTTTATAATTGGAGAACTCTCTACTTTCATGCTTTGTTTATACACTTTAGCCTTATAAAGTAATTTCTCCATACTTATGTGAAGTTTTTCCTTGGAAAACATAGTTATAAAAGTGAACTCACTCTAAGACCTTTCCAGGAAATGTATGAAATATATTTTAGTGGAAATCAAGAGCCCAGGATGAAGATACAAACGACCTCCAATTTTTTTCTTTGCTTTCTCGCCATCTGTTTTTTATTTAAAGATCTATTTATTTATGCATACAGAGGTGCAGGGGCGCCGAGAGGCTTCACTAGGGACAGAGTGGGGAGCAGAATAGGCGGATCGACAAGTATACTGCTGAGGGGAGCAGTGGGGAGACAGGAGAGGTCTGCTTCCTCATATGGGTCACCTCTCTGGCTGGGGATCGAACTTGGCACTGAAGTGGCTGCGGCTCGCTTGCAGCGCCGTGTCCTGCCCCCTTGTGCCACCAGAGAGGGCCTCTCGCCATCTGTTTTATTGTGATTTTCGACAAAGGTTAATTGAGCAAAAGGGTACTTAATTGTCCCTGTGAAGACAGACCCAGGGAGGAAAAGGCAATGTCTGGAGACTGTCTATTTTAGTAAGTTTCAATGGATTTCATCTTGATCAAATTGTACTTCTGCGAAGTTGGTTAGCCTGCCAAACTCCTTGCCTTCTCACTCACCACTGAGGGCTTCTGTTTGGGAACACATAGCCTTCTCTGTCTGCTTCCCTTTTTATCCTTTTACAGTGGTTGCCCTGTGGCTTGAAAAATAAAGATCCAGTCTCAAAAGTTCATCAGTTGGTCTTTTGAGATTGAAAAAAGCAGTAAACGTCCGTGTGAATGCTGGAAAAAATCCCAAGCATCTACCCTGATGAACATTTCCACTCATCAGACCACAGCCAGGGCAGCGTGGTTTCATACCTTACCTTTCACATATTTTTGCATTATTTAAACAAGGACTCATTAATCACCTTGTCATTTTATTTTGTGCAGTGAGCATTCTGCCATCCTCAAAACTTGCAACAACATGAGTTTAATGCCTGTTTCCACTTAGCTTCTCAGGAACTCTCTCAGAGGCAGCAGGAAGTGTTGCCTGCCTATTTTGCCTTTGCTCCAACTTCCAGGAGCTAGTGGTGCCCAAGGCGGTGGGGATCGTAGCAAGCAGACACTTCACCTAGCAAATATGGACCCGCGGTGGTAGCGTCTTTGCCCCTTTCTTGCAAAATCGTGGTGATTCTTTTCCAGGCTGCCCAGGTGATAACAATTTTTTTTTT